AACCCAATGTGTATGAAAGTTATTTGCTTCCCTTATGAAAACCACAATAAAAAGCACATTTAAAAAATAAAAGATGAACAAAACCTATGCACAATAGTCAATACTTCCTCGTTTGACACTAAAACCACATTGAAAACAAAGTTGAGATTAAGGTGATGAGAGAAATATTAAATTACACTCTCTAACCCCCTAACTCGGTTGGTTCAGTTGTACCCGAGACCCGGGGTCTTATCGAGTAGCTATTTTGTGGCGGATTTGCGGAAGGAAATGGATGATAGAACTGAAGGGATGAAATATGGAGTGTGGGAAAGAGATCTTTTTGGTGTTTTTAATGAGAGAAAAGAATAAGTTTAAGAAGAAGAAATGGTGAGGAATGAAATGGGCAGAAATAAAGTGAAGGGATAAACCAAGTTGGTGTTAAGAGATATGACACACTCTTATCTTAACTTGGGGCTTTTATCTTCTTTTACACATTAATAATCACTACTAATGTATAAAATTAGACTCCTAACACGCACTCAAAAGTAGCCAACTTTAGAGATATTTCATTAGGAAATTTGGTTAAAATAGCATCACACTATTTTAATGAATTACTCAAAGAGTAAAACAAAGGCTTTTTAATTCAATAATCTGGTGTGTTACAATGGCCTCATGGCTGAAGTATTTATACAACAACAAATAAGGAAAAATACAAGAAGAATGAAGGAAGAATATAACAAGGAAGTTTCCTACAAATCAATGCTTAATGCCCATCCATGTGAGTTGATCTTCCATGATGCTTCTCCTGATTTTGAGCTGATCTTCTTTGGGTTTATTTGGGTAGAAATTTCATGCATATAAGGAAGAAAACAAAGGGGAATCAAGCTTTAGACTTTTGTGAATAAAATGCCAAAACAGCACTATTCATTCAATGACTTTGTTTCTGATTTTTGTTCCTTTGTTTCAAAAGTGATTATGCTTTTTTTTTGTGGAAGAAAAGGCTTTATTCTTTGTTGAAAATCAGAAAATAATTTTAGCCTTATACCCCATCTTAGGATAAATAAACAGGAACAGATTCACTCAGGATTTAGGGTATGGAATAATCGATTAGCACATTTAGTAAATCGATTAATAGAGTTTAGCTCAAACTGGGAATGTTCTGAGGAATCCAATAATCGATTGACACTACAAGACAATCGATTTACAAGGACTTACTCAGAACTGGATATTTTCTGAGGGTGAGGATAATCGATTATCAAGTTATTGAAAATCGATTATGAGAAGTTGTGTACTTTGAAGAAGAATCTGCAGACTACAATAGTCGATTATCAATTAAGGATAATCGATTATCCAGGCTTTTAGAATCAGGATTGGAAAAGAAATAGGGAAAGACATTATTTGAGTAAAAAGGATTTGAAAAGAAACAAAGGTTTGACTTGTCTTCCTTTGATTTTCATTTTTTACTAAAAATTGATGGGAAAGACTTTATTTTGAATTAAAGAAAAGAAAGAAGACTTTTGGATATGTTGGGAGAGTTGGGATTTTTGTGGAGCCATCCAGGGGTACATCAAGTTCCCATGACACTGGAAATCAAAGTCATGAAATGACCCAGGGGTGTTCTAGTTCCCCGTTCATAAAATTGACGATTCCTACCTTCTCTGACCCAGTAAACCGACCCCAGTAAACTCTGCCCCGACCCGAACACACCCCCACCCCCTTCAATTGCACCCCAAGTTAATTTTGACTTTGAAGGGGGTGGGGGGGTTTACTGGGGGCAGGATTAGGGGGTAGAAATTGTTAATTTTACGAATGGGGAACCGGCCCCTTATATGTAATCTAATAACTTAAGTGATAGAGATTGAGCCTAGAGCTCTTAAGCCAGCGTCACAGATAGCTCCTATAGACTTAAAAAGCTGGGTTATGTTTAAAAAAAAATTATTAAATGATAAGAAAATAGGTTATGGTGCTGACCACGTGAAGCTTGGTAAATTTTTTTATTCAATAAATAAGTTATTACTTCAAAGTTGGGAGCCTAAAATTTTGAGAAATAGTTGAATGTTCCGAGTATAAATTCCTCTAATTTTTAAACTTATACTCATACTGAGCTAGGACAGAATACAATAATTTTTAACACAATATCTTAAAAATCAATTTAAAGGAAAAATGACTACTGAAGAACACAGCAGCATGATTGCTAAACCCTAATTATATGTGAGTATGCTGGATTTACAGCATGGAAAAGCTTAATGGAATTCAAGAAAAGGCTATAAAAATGATATTCAAACATTTCACAAACCTGCAAGCAGATGTGCTAATTTAGTGCAATCTCAGCTTCACAGTATGCCAGTCTGGGACAAGGAGCTGCGGCAAGAAGGAAGACATCTGATATAATAACCACATCCATTGCAGATCGCAGCAATACTGAACGGGAGAAAAATTTAGACTTTGCATATTTGGGGGAGCTAGCGCAAATTTTAGAGAATCACCTGAAATCCATCCCGGCGGAGATAGGGTGAAATCTCTCCAATTCCAATACACACATACTAGTTTTTTACCACCAAATACACTTGTTTCTACAACTTCAACTTCATCCAATGAAGAAACATAGAAAAAGATTTGTGTACAGCATTGAATTTTCATCCTCATGACCTGCCAAAATTTACACATTACCTAAGGCTTTTAAAAGGAAAGAGAAAAATAGAATCAAACTACGAAGTGCGGTAGACCAAGAAGATGCATGAAGTAGACCTTGTTAACACAATACCCTACTTCCTTTTTATGTCACCTCCTTTAGACTCCAAGAAGAAAGCCGATTAAAACTCTTTTGTTTAAGAGAACCTGCACGTATACCTCAAGCTTATATTTAAAATACATATTAGAGACCAAATGTCCATTACACAATTACACACTATTTATCAAACCACATATATAGTCTTGCCATGAAACAATAATAGAAACAGAGATACTGTTACTGACTATCTTTTGGGGTTATCTCTTAAATAAATATTTACATATATATCTTTTGGGGTTATCTCTTAAATAAATATTTACATATATCAAATATGCTCTCTCCATCCTGGTTTAATATGGACACTTTTCTTTTTGGAATGTTCCAAAAAAAATACACACTTGTTTACTTTCCTAAGAAGTAAAATATGTGGTACACAATTCTTCTCTTTCTTCTAAGTAAATTTTAACCACTCACATTTTACTATTTATTATTTTCCTAAAACTCCATAAGGTCAAACCATCCAAGCTAAATCGAGACAGATAGAGTACTATATAACTTTGTGCAGAAGATTAATTAAATATATAGGAATTCATGAAGATTGCATCATGTGAAAAATACTACTAAATCTTACCTTAGATGAATTATTTCATAATTGGAACTCATGGCCTAATTGGCATTGGGTAAGCTATTTTTGGACACACCAAGGGCAACATTAAGCAGGCACTGGACACTATCTTGGCCCAACATTTGAAGTGCTTCTAAAGGAGCACCATGATGTTCAACCAACCTGCAAGAGTAAAACAAATGTATTCTAAATACCTCATATAAAATTAGGCAAATTGACTAAGACAACACGCTAGACNTTGCATCATGTGAAAAATACTACTAAATCTTACCTTAGATGAATTATTTCATAATTGGAACTCATGGCCTAATTGGCATTGGGTAAGCTATTTTTGGACACACCAAGGGCAACATTAAGCAGGCACTGGACACTATCTTGGCCCAACATTTGAAGTGCTTCTAAAGGAGCACCATGATGTTCAACCAACCTGCAAGAGTAAAACAAATGTATTCTAAATACCTCATATAAAATTAGGCAAATTGACTAAGACAACACGCTAGACAAATAAAGAAAATGACGATAATCAAGAAATTTATTTTTAGAACCAAATATTTCACGATTCGCTTACCGCTTGCCATAAAGCATAGTAGCCAAATCTATTGAAGTTTTATTATTGAACCCCAGCTCTAATCGAACAACACCATTTTGCACCCAAAACTTGTCCAAAACATTATTAACATTTTTAGCAGAAATTTGCCAAACAGAAAACAAAATCTCAAGCCCTTCTAAAAAAAATTTCCCAAAACATCTTCGATACGTTCAGAAAGATAAGTTTAGTCTCAAAAAAGGTGTTTCTATTAAGTGTTTTTTTATGCATCCCTCTCTAAACAAAATGATCATAAAGGATGCATAGTTGGAAAAAGAGTCTTTAATGAATCAAGAGCAAATGCATGCGTATGACAATGTTTTTCCTAATAAGTATACAACATAATATAAATAGCATTCAAGAGATAACTGTTACCTCCTACTTGTTCTTTGGATGGTTGAGATACAGGTTGCATCAGTTGAATTTAGGGTCATGACGTGCAAACTCTATACGCTAAAGTAGGAACCTTATTCTTTATAAATATAGTTTGTAAGGCATCACCTAGGCAATAAGGAGCTGTCCCATGGATGCCAAGTCTACTCGCCTCGCCCAGAAAACCTTATGGCCTTCAGGTGCTCGCTTAGGTATCGCATTACGTTGCCTTACTCCAGCCTTGACGCCAGGGCCCCTTTAAAATTTTGAAAAGCCCTTTTTTGTGCGCAACCATCACCTTTTGTATTTAGTGCTTGATGTGGAGTTGTTTGTATACCCATACTTTCAAATACTTTTGTGAGTCCATAACTCAAAACATATCACAACGTGCAGGCAGTGAAATTTAAATTTCACTTACCTCCATTGATCAAAATGAGTCTGCAAAGTACCTCCATTTCTATTAAGAGTGTATTCCTTTCACATGTGGTCATTTAGAAGTGAGACCAGAAGTCTTTAGCTTTAGGACAAATCTAGAAGAAATGTTCAATCATATCTGCATTCTTGCACCAACATCATTTGGAAGCAAGTTTGAATGTGGAATCTCTGTGCTGCAAAATAGAAGAAAACTGTTTATGAGACCATTCAGACCATGAACATAAGGAAAAATACACGTCTAATTGTGAAATAAGAAACAACCCAAGGTAGAAAGTGATAGTGTTATCTTCCTTCTTTCCACTCTCCTTGCAAACAAAGTGATAGAGACAATAGCATTTGCATCTATGAATGGCACACTCTTATATACGTATAAATATTGGATCTACAAAATCTAAAATTTGAAATCAGTCAACAAACTAACAATCAGACAACATATGAACGAACCTGTACAAAAATCCTAATAACATGTTGAAAAATAATTTCTCAAACTTGAAAGGCATGCTATAATCAAATGGAAGAAATTAGAAGAAGTTATACCCCTTTGGAAGGTTTAGTGTGCCTCAATTTGGAATGCTGTAATGTAACAAAAAACCAGCTGGAGATGAGAAATGCATGGAGAACCAATAAGATAACCATACTTGAGAATTTGGAGTGTTATCTTTATTACAAGTATTATATTTGAAACTTTATCTTTAATTAAGAACGCATCCTTTTATTTGTTTGAAAATAGTTCACAATTGATTAATCAAACAAATTAAATGATTTAGTCTAATGAAGAGTTATAAGTCTATTCACAATGAACTGGGAAAGAAGTTTTGGCAACATTCAATTAAGACACAAATTGAAAAGTCTTAGTGACCAAATTGAAAGATTAATACACAAATTGAAAATATAATGGTAATTATAAGACTAAAAAAATTGTAACTATTAATATGTATTTATTAAATAATACACAAATTAAAAAAATTATGAATAATATCCTTAGTGACCTGATGCTGCTGCACTGAGTCGTTGACCAAGGAGGGACGCTCAGAAGTTGCTACTCTAGGAAGGAGAGATGCTATGAACCTGCGACTTCAGAGAGTGGGAGTAGAGTCGAAACTGGGAAGCTCAACCGATGGTTGATTGGAAGAGAGGATAGGGGAAGAAGATGGAAGAGCGGAAGGGAATACGATAGATTAAGGTAATGGATAAACTGACTTAAGGCAACGGATCAAACTCATTAAATTACAAACGGGCTTAGGCCCAGCTTCATTAATCCATTCAATTATTAAGGCTCAACAGCGAAAGAAAGTTGCACAGATCTGTATGGCGATAATTGAACTCGCCAAACGCCATAAGACGCAATAAGAATGGCGAACGCCTTTCATCGCCTCAAGGACATCGCCATGCACAGCCTAATCCAGGCATTACAAGGCGAGTATGGCGCTCGCCATTCATAACTATGTGCCACACATGATTTTCATTTCTTAAAGCGTGTTGGTGGGCTCTTGTAGTTTAATTAATAAAAAATAAAATTTCATATTGTCTCTCTAGATTTAAAACAATATAATCTTTAATTTTTGGCAAAGGATCAAGTTCTATCTCAAATGAAATTTGTCCTTCAGAATTGTTTGAAAAAAAACTTCTCTTTAGTTTGACCTTAAAAACAGAATTTGAAGTCAATGACCTCGCAGTCTTTAATCCTCATATTTATAGTGTTAAGCTCAATAGCAAAAAAAATCTTTAATCATTGCATTTTCTAAAAGTGCAGCTTTATCAAAAGCAAATAAAGTGAAACTGTGTCCCTTTTTATCATTAGGAAAAGGGTTTAAATCTGCATCAAATCTTGTTGCTTCTTTAATTCTTGTTGAAATAATTTTGAATTCAATAAAGAGAACAATATTTTGTGTTACAGCAGATTCTTCAAAGATGCCAAACTTAGTCCTTTTGAAATAAAAATCATTTGAAAATGTCTTAACAATAAACAGGTGTTGATGGTCATTTTGCAGCCTTGATTTCCTCCAAACCAAAGATTTATTAGTGGACTCATCATTTAGAAACATAAAAATACCATTCATACAATCCTTAAGACCAAACATTTCCTTTCCAAAAATGAAGCTCTTTACACTATGTTTGGTTCAAGGAATTTGAAAGGGAAAAGAAAAGAAAATGAATTGGAAAACAGTTTTTCATTTTTGGTTAGAGAGGAAAAGTGGAAGAAAAAGAAAATGAGAAGACAAATGTACTAACCGAAGGGAAAACCAAAATCCTCCCATTTTTGTGAGAACATGAGAGAAAATCAATTTCTTTTCTTTTCCTTCCAAAATCCTTGAACCAAACATAGTGTTAAGGAATAAGGAATAGAAATCATCTCAGGATTCAAAGAAACTGGGGTGTGCTGTATGGAATAAGAATTAATTTGTTCTCCCCCACACTTAGTTAAAACCCAGGTTGTTCAATCTGGTGCTCCTTCGTTACTGTATTTTTCTTGGCATATTGAGCTCGTGGTATTTCTTCAAAAATTAACTGCTCATCTTTTTCAACATATTTAGAAAACACAATAAAATCATTTTCTCTAAAAAGTTTATCAAGTCCGAAGCAACAATCTTCCCCAAGCTCTTTTATAAATTCTCCCTTAGCCCTAGACCTTCAAACTTATCACACCCATTCCTTTTTAAAATATTTATTTCTCCAATATTATGGAAGTTCTTTTCAATGTTTCCAAAGAG